AACTGTGGGCCCAGCAAGTCCCAAATCACGCCAAAGTAAGTTCTGAAAAAATAATTTATACTGAAACAATAAAAATCATACATTTAATCAATGGTCGTAACATTTAGGAGCCTCAAATGTTTGTTCATTGTCAATGACGCTGCTCATAACGGGCGGATAGAGTGACTAAATTTGAGAATGCATTTCTATACATTTAAAGTGTAAATAATTGTTCTCATTACCGAATTAAGTTAGTTATGACGTTCTTATGGAAAGGGATCAGTCCCTCATTCCTTCATTTGCTATAAATTTTCAATAGTTTCTTCAGTGCAAAATATTCATATTTAATTTATAATATAATTTGTAGAGTTGAGGCCGTGAACAATGTTTCTGAGTGGTATATATATGAGGCTTTTACCAGCCATTCCTAAAATGAACAGCACCATGACGTAACTGATCTTAAAAAACTAAAATAATGCGTCACTTTGATGTTTGATCCTTATTCAGTGCTTATAAGTTTTGTCCAATATGTTTTTTAAGATCTTATTATATTTAAATGAATATTCGTGACTATGTTGAATATTAATATTTATTTATATAATTAAACACTACAGTATGCTGGTGTGTGGTATCAGATCGCACTTACTGAAACCTTGTTTCAGCCGCTCAGTCAATGTGTTCTCAATGAATATTCCTTCGGTAAGTCTTTTTCTTCTGTTTTACATCTTAGTATCCTAGACCCAGTGTTTTGATACAAACTTACATTAATGTGAAGTTTAAAATTAGAGCTGGAGAGGGTTTCGGGGGGTCAATGCCCCCCGCGGCCCGGTCTGTGACCAGGAAATTATGTCAAAATATTTATATTGTATTCCATTTTACAGGTGAAAAGCAGTTTAATGTTATTTCATCTGGTGTGAGTGCTGAGGGTAGTTTGTTGAAGATCCATGGTAAAGTGTATCCTAGTCCCGTGGGTGAACCTGAGCTCAGTGTAGACTTCCAGCAGTGTAAGTAGCAACAGAATATTGTACTCTAACACTGTAGTATTTGTTGGGTGCTGCAGAATATTGTACTCTAACACTGACTGTAGTATTTGTTGAGTGCTGCAGATTAGCTTCAAACCTTCCATGTTCATAGTAGAATAATACACCTTCTGAGTGTCTTCGTGTCTAATGTATTTTGTGTATTTTAGGATACTGGTTTCTTTGAAAGGCTTTAATTGGATTTAGGCTGTGTATTCTAATTTACCATTTTTTTGGGGGGGATAAATTTGATGATTTGTAAACGCCTCTTCTGTTTCCCTTCAAATATTCAGTGCTAGCATTTAACTGCATTATAAACAAAAGCCGCACTCTGCACTATTCATTAAGACACAGGAGACTGGGGTTACACAATACGAGGAAACTTACCTCGGATCGCACAGCGACCGAATTACATCTAATTCAATTAAATAATTTAGTTTTTTTTCCATCAGCATTTCCCGCCCCGTACGTCATCCTGAAGACGGACTACACTAACTATGCCTGTGTGTACTCCTGCATCGGTTTAAACTCTGATTACTACACAGACGTTGCTTTTATCTTAGCTCGCTCACCCACTCCGGAAGACAGGTTTTTCGTAAAGAAAGTGAAAGATATTTTTTAAAAGCATAAATTTTAAACACTTCAACGCTTAAAAAAAACCCGCCCCCAAGGGTCCCATTGATTATGACACCAGAAACCCTTCTGAGTGTTTTTATCCAGAGAAAAAATCAAACCATTTTTCGTCTTTTGTTGATTTATATTTTATAAAATGAAAATTTTAAATTTCCGATTCTTTACAGATTAACAAAAGGAAAAATAAAAATTTTTTGGTGTTTTTTGATAACCCTTTAATAAAAAAATTGAAAATAAATACTCTTTAAAAAGTCTTGTTTCCTTTAAAACTTATATTTTAAGTGTGGTTCCTAGTGGCGGGGAAAGGGATGTTTTTTCTCCCAAAAATAAAAAAAACATGAAAAAATGTTAAATATGTGGTTAAAAAAAGTGATTTTTTGGGTTATTTTGGGGTTTTCTTCCCACAAATGCGTTATCTATGTAGTTTGTATTTTTTGTATCCCCTTAATAAATTAAATAGGAAAAACGGAGAAAGGTGTGAAAAAAATTGCTATTCGAAAAAACAGATTTGTCACTCACGAAATATAGTTATTAGTAAGGAGAGGGGCCCAGGGTAAATATTTAAAGATGAATGGTTTTACGGGGAAACCCCACGTTGATAAATTAGACACATGCGCAACTTTTTGGGGATCTTTATTGAGGGAAAAGCTTTTGTTTACACAGTGGCTTTTAACAGTCCATACACAGGAGAAGCTAAAGAACAGGGGGGATTTAACACTTGGGAATTCTTCGCTTTCCCAACCCCTTTGGGGACGAAATACTTCCACCAAAATTTGGGCAAATGTGACACCACCTACCCTTGCTGCCCCCTCCCCCTGCCCCAACCCGGTTTTTTAAGCCCTTTTCCGCCTAAAATGCCGTATTTATTTAAGATTGGGGGACTGACCACAACGACTCAAGGCTGAGGGGAAAGATTTCCTCATTCTCCCCCTGTTCTTTTTTGCTTCCCTGTGTATGGACTGATGAAGCCACTGTGTGGGGGGAAACGTTTTTTCCCCCAAAAAAAGATACCCAAAAAGTTTTCCCCATGTTCTAATTTTTCCCCGGGAAAAATTGCAAAAAGGGGGTAGATAAAACATAATTTTTTTTTAGAGTCTCCCTCTTTTTTGGGCCCCCGACAGAAACTTGCAAAAAAAGACAAAAAGAAAAACAGTGTTTTTTCCCTGGGTCTATGATTTGGAAAAATATAGTCAGTTAATTAGACAGTTTTCATGTTTAAAAATGCAAAATCCCAAATTTTTGTTTAATTTTTAAAGGTTATGTAGCGGGAAACGGGAAAAAGAGGGCTGGTTTGCGTTTTGCCATCAAAAGGGGGTAATAGAACCTTCAAAATAGGGGGGCCAAGCCCATGATGGGCACTCTTCCGGGAAATTGTTCTTCTAGGCCCGGAAATATTGCTGCACCCAACAGCACCCTTTTAAGGCAGGTGAATTGCCGACCCAGAAAAAAGTACAGAGAAAATTTCACGGGGCGCATAAAAAGGGGAAAAAACACCTCAAATTTTTGGGAGCGCCCTTTAGGTTCCCCAAACCTGTTTCCCTGGAACGCAAAAGGGGGAGAGATACATGATTATATACCCCTGGAAAATTTTAGAAAGGGGCTAGTACCAACTTGCCCCACGAAATTTACTCACTACGAAAGCAAAAGACTTTGGGAGAAAAGAAAGCCACCCTTTCCCCCCAAAGAAAAAACGGGGTTTTCACTAGCAAAAGTTTAAAAAGACCTTTCAATAAGTGTCAGGGGCCCGGACTGTTCAACTGCCTCCCAGCCCCACAAAAAAGGGGGGTTTCCAACAGACCCCCGGCGTCCCTTTAAACTGGCACTGGACAAGCACCCAAAGTCAGTTTCGGGTCAGCCGGGTGGGCTCGACGTTGGTTTTCGTGCAGCCAGCAGCAACAGCCTGGTTTTAAACAGTCTGATCCAAACCGGGGGCCCCGGTCACAGCCGGGGGGCGGGGGGGTTTTTCCCCCCCAAATCTCTCCAGGTAAAATCCAGTAAAAACACGTTTTCGCTCCTGGGGGTTTGCAATCCAATTCAATGCACGAGAGGTAGTCAGAATAACAGGGGCAGAAAAAAGTCAGGTGTGGGAGGGCCTTGTCGCTGTTTCGTGTGGGTAGTTTACCGGGGACTACAGTGAAAAATACAGCAACACCCCCAGTTCATGTTTGGGGACCAGATTTTAACATGTAAATGGTTTTTCTTTAAAAAAACCATCCCCCGGCCCGGGATTGAACCCGCGGTTCATTCCCTTTGTAATTTTGTTCACCATCAAACTTTGGGGCACAGTCCTGGACCCATATGTCCTCGGGAAAATCTTTTGACTACGCCCCACAGGATGGCTAAGGGTGCATAAAAAAAAAACATTTAAAAAATAACTAGGCAGAAAAGTTTTAAAATACCAACCCAGGTTTCCGAACCACTCTCCTAGAACCTGTGATCAAAGTTCACGGGAGCGCCCTCTTTCTTTATATACAAATCGGTTTTGATTACTAACTTTAGGTATCCCCCCCCCCCCACCCAGTCATATAAACTACATTAAACTAGCTTTGTTTTGATGTATCCCCCTTAAGGAGGTTTCTTTTACGCTGGTGAGGGGGGGTCTTGATTAGGGAACTGGATCTGTGCTTCAGTTCCCTGAATTGATTCGAAGACCTTCCATATCCCTCCCCCAGGCGCTTGTATAATCCCCACAGGTTTTTGCGCTCCCCCTAGTAATGCCATGTAGTCCGCATAAAGTTAAAATTTTTATCACCCCCACCACACAGACTGACCACAGATATACACGAGTTATCCTTTTTTTTTTTGTTTAATAAAAAAAAATGGCGACCACGGTAAAGGATTGAAACAATGATGTTAGAAAAGGGGATTTCAATTTTCATATTATTGCAGGAGAGCATTTATAGGGGAAACAAGTCAATGCTTTCCAGGTTACAGGGGGAAATTTATTAACAGTTAGATATAATGAGGAAATAATTGCTTGATATATTTCTGGCAAAAAACGAAACCATAAAAAAATGTTCTTGGAACCGGAGAAAAACTGAGAAAAGAGTATCATAAGCTTCAATACTTCCTTGGGAAAAACAATAATGAGGAAACTTTAGTTACCGTAGTCTGAAGATCTTTGGGTTCCCTTTAAGGCTCGGTGGTCTTAACGTTCCAAGACGAGGGGGGATTACCTCTCTTTTTTATATACACTCTTCAAAATATACCCTTTTATTTTGTACTGAAAAGCCAC